GCAGTTTAAAAGAGAAAACAGAAGCCAAAGATGAAGTTTTGTGAAAAGGTTTTATTTTTTGTGTGAAATTTGTTTTATTTTTTATAACTTAGAGATTCACTAAGTACATTAAGAGGCACTCAGCAAAACAGACAGAGTAGAAATGGATAAATAATACGACATATAATATGTGGAAATCAGTACCTGATCACCTGAATATAAATTTGTTTCGTTTATGCGAACTAAGAATTAACATTTTGTCTCTACATAGAAGGAAGGCTCGCCATCAGTGTTGTGCAAGTCCACTCTTAAAATAAAGGATCACACACATTAAAAACAAGTCCATGTTCACTGTTCTTTTTTCTTTTTTCCAATTTCACGCCAAGTTAGTATCCAAAAATTGAACTATTTCATGTTGGCCTTTTTTAAGTCTGACTTGAACACCCAAATACACCATGACAATCTGTAAATAAAAGGGTGAAATCAAAAGACGCGCTGAACAAACTCAATAAGAGAGTTATCCTCCACTTCCTCAAGTTTTCATCTCTATAAGATGTTAGGAAATACTTGCTATAGACACTTCCTCTGATTACCTCTCTGATCATTTACTGTCTTCATAGTGAACTAAACTGACGTTACTGTTCATGCTGTGTAGTTTACCATCCACTGTAATATGAGCATGTTCAATAAGCGAATTCACTGTAGCGTGTTCATGCACAACACTAGTCAACATCTTGCACTGCTATAATTACAATTTTGTATGAAGTAAGTGACTGTGTGAAATGGACAAAGAAGTAAGGGGTGAATTTTTCAATCAAGAATCTGACTGACAGAGATATCCCCAATTATTCTCATTTTTACTCACTGTAGCTTTAAGGTGAGGTTGGCAAATTAAAGCCTGATGAGTTCTCAGTTTGTCAGATTTGGTCACCTCTGTGGACAAAATGCTTTTTGTTGATTTTGTTCTAAGAATAACTAGTAAGTGTTTGTTTGTTTGTTTGTTTCCTTTTTTAGGCCATAAAGACGCATCAAAATTTATTTTAATCTGTTTTCATATCAAACCAAAACCTCTTCACAGGAGCTTTAAAATCACCTGACTTACTTTAAAGCTGAGAGGAGGAGTTTAATGAAAAAAATACTACAAGTATATAATGAGCTACAAATGCAACAAGAAAAGACAATTTCTTTCTGTTCAATTTGGCAAAAACTTTTTATTAACAGTTTATCTGAATGTTCAAAAGCAGCAAGATGATTTTTTTTTATTAGAAAACTCAAAGTACACAAGTACAGGACAGAATGAGTAAAGAGATAAGAGGTTTGAGTTTGTCCACAGGGGGCAGCAAAATCAACACAAAGCAAAAGTTCCCCACAGGAGCTTTAAAAGTGGATTCACAAGTTTTACTGAAAGGATGGAGATCTAATTCTTATCTTGAAGGACAGCTGATTTTTTTGTCTAAACAAAAACTAAGTTTGTTACTGTGCTGCTAGTTTATGTTGTAAAACCACTGACTGAGCTGCACATTCAGATCTTTGGCAGCAAAGACACCAAATCAAAACTAAGAGATCTTGTTTTCTCATTCACAAGGAAAAGAAATGTCCATGTTTCAACTTTTTTCAACACTTTTCTCCAGGCGTTGAAAGACATCTTTGTCAGTCTTTTGAAGAGAAATCTCAACATGGACAGAGTCTGAAAACTCGCTGAGGATACAGTTTAATTCAACGTGTGAGTCCTCAGGCTGGAGTCTGAGAACACTGTAGGACACACAGGTTTTCCTCCTCCCCCTCTGCTCCGTATCTGTGTCATGGAGCTGTGACATGCACCTCCTCTGGAGAAAAGAAGCTGATGAGAGCTGGAGTGAAGGGGGGGCCGAGGGGCGGAGGGGTGAGACAGGATGAGATAGAAGATGGAGGGAGAACCCAAAGCACAGAGAGAGAGAGAGAGAGAGAGAGAGAGAGAAGCTCTTAGACAGATTATTGCTCATTAGACGCAGCCTTGCACCGTACCATTATGTCAGGAGGAATCCTTTTTCATTTGCACAAATTTGCCTGGAATTTTTCTTATTTAGCCCGGCCTCCATTATCAGAGCTGGAAATCAGATTAGCCTATGATTATTCTCCGGCTCGCCTGCCAACATTTCCCCATGCGGCCAGCGCCGGTGGCTTGGATCCGTCTTGGCCTTTTGTTAACCTCTGCCCACCAACAATGCACACAACAACAGCCGATATGAAATAATTCAGTGCAGGATAATGTCTGCAGCCTCAGAGCTCACGCAGGATTAGATTTGTTCGTGCTGCACGGAGACTCGTGATTTCCATGTCAGTCATAAGGAGAACATCACCGACTGTATCCTCTGTAGTAACATAAATCTCATAAATAAACTACAATATTGTAACTCTGCTGGTACAAACTATGTGTATAAACTTTAGTGCAGACACGCACCATGAGCCAGGGCTGTAGCTCCGGTCAGTGTCTACTGCTATACTGTTATGTCACTCAAACACAGCATCGTATGGCAGTAGTACATGGAGATAGACTGTTCCTGGTTAAACATGTTTATAACCACCCTAACCTGGGTCATGTGTATCCTGTGCAGTCGTTTGGTTATTAACGTTAAATGTTAACTTAAGCCACACCCAGGAAACTGATTGGACAAAGTTTCCCCACAAACTCTAAACTTTATGTTTAATCGTGTGAAATGAAGTTTTCTTACCTTTAGAGCTATCACCCAGCATGTTGCAGAAAAAACTACGACACAGTATAACTGATGGTCTTGTTTGCCTTGGATAACATGGAGACATCAGTATTAATTTCAGTCTTTTTCATAAACTGTAAAAAAACAACAACAACAGGAGCCTTAACTGACCTTCTCTTGCAGGTAAGGAACTTCTTGCCCCTGTACTTTTAGATGGAGGACCTTGAAGTAATAATCACCATATTAATCATTTTGCACAGCAGACGCAGTCGTTCTTCTGCGTTAGCGTCTCAGTCTGATTGCATTCCATGAAGGAATGATCATAAATGTTCTTCCTTGAGCTGCGAAACTTCACTGCACTCGGTGATCGACTCGTCAGGGCTCCCCCCACAAACAAGCAGCTGCTGGAGGAGAGTGGGTGAGTTGTGTTTAGTCTGTTTGCTAAAGAAATTCAGCAAAGTTAAAAAGATGTTTGATGACTAGTGCTGTGGCTGGGACCTTATATGTACTGTTGATGATGTTAGGTGCTGTTCTGAGCATTATTTGTGGCTATAGAGTGGCGTTTTGTTTGAGGTTTGCGTATGGAGACGTAGACCGCTGTGTATTACTGTCGTGCGGTCGTTACTAAAGTAGTTACTTATAAGTAGAGAAGTAATCGGTCGGCAACATTCATCTCTCGAGGGGGTGTCTAACTCGGTGTTATGGTGTGTTTGACCCTACCTTAAATTTACGCTGGAATATCCCTTTAATGGTCCTAATCCCTGTGATTTTATCATTCGTATTTCTTTTATGTTTTTGTGTTTTTATTTCATTTTAGATGTTTTTTTGCCTCCTTTTATGTCTTTCCTCTCGATGTTTTTACTCCAGCAGTGTTTGTTCTTTTTGGTTTTACTGTGCAGCACTTTGGTAACTTAAACATTTTTAAAATGTGCTTTATAGATAAATTTAATTTGGATTTTATTGAAAGGGTTAAGAGTTAACGTAAATTTCAAACACTGCTGACACTTCCAGAAGTAGAGAGGAGAACAGGTGGAATGGTTTCCCATTGCTAAATAATCACTCCAATTAAGCAATTAAAATCTGAGGCAGAATCAGGTTATGGATACCCCACGAATAAGCGCCCCTGCACTAATCACAAATCAATAAAGACGTGTTAGACTGTTACACTTTCATTGTTATTAACCTTTCTTTTTTAGCGACTCGCACAGACTTTGCACAGCTTTAATTGGCTGTAAAGTAATCAAGTGTAATTTCTTGTTAGTTAGACAGTTTTAGAATCATTAGTTAATAGTTTGAGTCGTTGATTGGAATTATAGGAAGATTGTTAAACTTGATAACAAGTCAGATATCAGCAGGGATTAGAGGCGGCAGTATGTGGCTTAGAAAACACCTGAACAGGCACCTTTTGGGGTCAGTCAACTGGTTGTTTTTTTAATGTATCTGAAGATTTGTCGTCGATTTCTCCAAAAACTGTTCTTAATTTCTTGAGCTGTTTCGGATTTTCTGTCTCCTTCTGAGTTTTGAATGTTTTCATGTTTGTTGCAGCTTCTTGTTGTGACCCATTTCCCCCCACACTCATTTCAGGCTAACATAAACTAAATATTTTATATATTCAGTTGATTATACATTAACTTTGACATACTGAACACTGTTTTGTTCATTCAATTCTAACCACTCTAGAACAACTCTAAAACACTAGACACTACACATTTAATAGTTACCGCTGCAGCTAGTTCGCTAACAGCTGCTTCTTCCTTTTAGTCTTTTCTTCATTTCATGGCGTGTAGCAACAAGCATGGTATTATTGTGTCCTTAAATTTGGCAGGATGTGCATGTTTTATCCTTTTAAAAAAAAGAAAAGATGATGTGGTCATACTGGTATTTAGCGACAGTTCGTCTTGTCGCTTATCTTGAAATATGTGGTCTGGACTGTTACTCATATGGAGACTCTGCTGTACCTCCCTTTAAAGACATTTAAGAGAAAAAGTTTAAAAGAAAGACTCTACAGCAATCGTTTTGTTGAAATATGTTTGCTTTATTTCCAGAAGAGACATTCAAATTGAGTATAATATGACTGAATTTACACAAGGCGAACTTTGTGACTTTATATTCTCACAGCTCATTTGTAGTTTTATATAAAGACAATAACAAACTTCTGGTGCATTTAGAGCTTGTTCTAATTTGTCTCTTGTTTTTTGGTTGTCTAAACCTGTGCAACACTCTGAGACATGAATATAAGTGCAACTTCTGCAGGGTCTCAGCCGTACTACATGCATGAAGATCTCTAACCGTTCCTCTGTGCGAACCCTGCAGAGTAAAAAACGACCATCACACCATCTGTCTGCAGCCCTGCTGCTCTCTCAGACCTTCAACCTGCCAACCCCAGCGTGGAGGGTCTGCAGGACATCGTGTATCCACGCTGGAGTTGCTGAAAGCTGGCTTGGTGGGAGCAGATTGCTGCCTAATTGTGCTTTTCAGAGCTGCTGTGCCGCTGGGGGTTACAACAGGGCTGCATGCGGTCTGTGGATGCTGCACCGACGGAATCCAACCAGGCAGGGTCTCATTGATCTGCTGAAGCAAAGGTCAACACAGTTATGCATCTGTAGGCTGAAGGAAGGCCACCAGAGGAGACGAGGAGATGATTCTGGCCTGTTCTGCAGGTTTGAGGCACTTTTTGACACCGTTTTTGGCTCGTGGTAATTTCTAGCTTGCCTGCAGAGCTCATCCACAAGTTTCTGTGTATCTGCTTCCCTCTTCCCATAATGCATCCTGAGACTCCATTTTTTCTCCCTCTCCCTCGTTTCATATCCTTCTACCCCCCCACCCCCACCCCCTCCAGCTCTCCACCAGCCAACCCCTGCTATTTTCACCCCACACACATCCGTCGCTGCACTTATCCAGCCTCAGACGGCTGCTGGCTCGATAGCTAAACGGATTATCCAACAACAGAGCACCTCTCCTTCTCCCTCTCTTCCTCTCTCCTCTCTCTCCCTCCCTCTCTCTCTCTCTCTCTCCATGCACTCCTCTAGCCGTGGGTCCTCAGAGGTGGTGGGGGCCCTATTGAGCGGGGCCCAGGCTCTCCACTAGCCCAGGCTCTTTATTGAGGCGTCTATGGGGCTTTATGCTGCCAGCGCTCGGCCTTGCCCTCGCCATCATCAATCATCCTCGGCTCCAGGGCTGCTATCACTGCCCCGGACAGGCAGCCAATCACAGCCATCCAGGAAGCTCTATAGGAGACAGAGAGAGATGCAGAAGAGAGGGGAAAAGTGGAGAATCACTGTGTTTCTGTTGCTCTGTGTCCGGTCTGATGTGATTGACGTGTTGTGGCTGCATGACAACACTGGTATGGAGCAAAGACTGGCCTGTGTGGTGTTTGATTAGATCATGGAGAGTGATTTTGAGTCATGAAAGTACATATAACCCGGTTAGAAAACATTTATAGAAGCAATTTGGCAGCAATAACAAAGCCTGTTATGACAGATCTATAATAATCCTGTAAGTTTGAATTTTAGATGATGGTTGCTGTGAAGAAATATTGCAGCAAAATGACAAAATCACACGTATGAGTGCCTCTGGTTAAAGAAAACAAAGGTTTATCTGAAAAGAGTCCAACTAAAGTGAAGAAATTCTGCGTTACAGCTCACTTTCCTCTTTTTCATCAAGCCTCAACAGTATGTCGAATTTCTCCTGAAGTCTTAACTTGATTTTTTTTCTTTCTCTTCTTTTTGCCCATCTCTCTCTCTCTCTCTCTCTCTCTCTCTCTCTCTCTCTCCCTCTCTCTCTGCAGCCCTGAGCTCTCATCCTGCTCCAGGAGGAATAGGCGGAATCTGATTACAGACCTATTTTACAGCAGACGCCGGGGCGCAATAAAGGGAGAGAGAGCACGGAAACGGGACTCGGCCCATCAATTAGATCTCTATTAGCAGCCAATGCAGACCTCACCTCAGGAAACGCCGGGGCCCTGAAATTAAACAATTCTTCAAGAACGACAAGCCATCAGCTCGGCTGTACGTTTGAGGAGAGAGGGAGGAGAGGTAGGTGTCCTGTTGTAACCTGTTGTAAATCCATTAAAAACAGACACTTTGGAGCGTGTAGTTTGGCTCTAAAGACACAGGATTATAAAGAAGACATAAGGTTTAATATGAAGCCTCTGCACAGACTGTAAATCCTTATTTTAATGTCATATATATGATGCATTGTCATTATATCGCCCATAAAGTGTAATAGAGCCAAAAGATATCAGCACCCAAATGCACAGCTGACTCAAAAAGCCAAGACATCTTCATAAACTGTCATAACAAAGACACAATCAAATGGATTACTCTTAACTTACAATGACTTTCCCTTCCTTCTGTCCTTCCTTGCTTCCTTTTTTCCTTCCTTCCTTGTCCTGTAACCTCCTTCTGGTGCAATTTATCTCCAACTGTTGACCCTCTGACCTGAGGCGGGACAAAATGTCAATATTGGATAATTAGCTGCAGCATTAAAGCCATTTAGAGACAACACCTTAAGAGGCTTCTGCACATAATTCATCCTTTAAGCTGCTTTATCTTTTACAGAAAATTAAAAGTTTGTGATTTTATCCCCGGTCTGCTCCGACCATGGCTGCTTTTACAGAATGATAACAGGGTTTAAGTGAAGGGGATAAGGTTTTTACAGGTTAAAAGGATTTGTTGCAGGATACTGGGCCAGCTTGTGGTGTACGGGGCTAAAGGGAACTGTTAAGTGATGGCTCCTTATGTGGTTTTGGTACATGCAGAAATCTGATAAGATGCACACAGAAGCTTACTGGGAGGATGCCTCACACTAGTGTTAATTTCAGTGTTGATATTTGTTTGAAAAGAAGCACACTAAAGGTCTCTTATTCAGTAAAACAAAGTCGACACGTATCCTCCTAAATTTTACCTATTTTATTTCTCATATTTTGTAAAGACTGAGTTTTCTTTTCGCCCTCCTCTTTCCTCATTAGAGCTTCATGTCTGGTTTAGTCTGACGCAGGACTTTGCGTCATGAGTCTCCCAACAATCTTCGCCTGTTTCTCAGATTCTGTGGCACGTATTTCTCTGTTCGTCCAATCAAAGGATGGCCATTTATCATCGAGAGGGACAGCTCCGTATTTTCTACCTTGCCCGCTCGGTTCCAGGACCAAATCTAGCATTTTTATGGAAAACTGCAGTCATTTTGATTGATGAAATCCAAAGATGTCCAAAACAATCCGAGGGATCCCCAACTGTGGCGCACCGGCAGGGTGCTCCACTGTTGTCATTGTTCCGCAGAAAGAAAGGAGCGCGTCCGGAGAACACCAGGGGAAAAAAATCACGATTTTCAGTTCAAAAGAGGCCAGAAAGCAGCGTTTCTTTACAGGCAGTGGGAAAGTGCAGGAAAACCTTTTCCACTTGCAGACGGAAACAATACTTTCTTTGCTTTTTTTTTACTCCTATGCATTCAGCCATAAAGACACGGGCTGATAGAAACAGGCCAGAATAATGAATAGATTATTTTACTGTGAGGGTGTTATGGAGCAGGCTGAGCGGCTGCAGAAACACTTCCCCCTGCTTTCATCCGATTTGCGCATACAACCTCAGATTGTGTCGTGTAGCTGCGCAAAGTAAAATAACTTCTCCTTTAGACTGATTTCAGACCAGTGCTGCTCCCAGCTTGTCTTGTTTGCTGTGATTCATAATGTCACTACAAATGTCACCTGTCTGGCCTAATTGGCACCCTCTGTTATTAATACCCGGAGTGTGGCTCCCTTTTGCACCCGCGGAAATCAGCCTATATTGCGCTACTTAATACAGCGTCACCCAAAGGGAGATTCAATAAATCTCCCTTTAACGGCGTTTCCCCTCCAAACTCCTTCAGGCGAGTGGAGCCCGTGTCAAGATTGCGATTGTGTGCTGTGTTTAGGACCAGCTGCTCCCAGGACAGACAAGCCCTTGTCAATTAGTCGGTGACAAGCAGGTCCTCAAAGTGCCTGCAGGCGCAGCAGCAGCCAGCAGTGTACAGGCCCCGCAATTAGTATCCATTTCTGTCCAGACCTCCTCAGAGCGCAGACACAGGCCGGGGAAATGGCCAAACATTGTCCGAATAACACCGAGAGACACACATGACGACGCGTAATGAGGCCAATGTTAAGTGAGCGCGCTGCAGGGAAAGAAAAACGTCAGAGTTTTTGGAGAATTAGGACTTAATTTCAAGATAGTTTCTTAGAAATATAAACCTCATGTTTGTGGACACACACTGAGAGACCTTTAAAAAATCTTATCAATTAAACACAAAGGAAATGATCAAAACCAGGACAGAGACAGACATCTATACCACCTGTGCACTCAGATACAGAGGTCAATCAAGAGGAGAAGACATTTTATAATCAAGAGGAATGGAAATAAAGAAGTTTTTTTTTAAAGATCTAAAATAATAATCATAACAAGGAAGTTGGATTGTGTTGAGAGGCACAAAACTGTCCAAAATCCCTGAACCTTTTACTAGCTGAGGGTGAATAACTGACTGTGTAGACCATTGACATATCTGGTCTAATAACAGTGAAACTAAGACCTAGTGTCAAAGGAAAAAATTAAGCCAGTTATTGATTATTAAAATAAAAAAATATGATTGTTTTTGAATTGAGAAGAGTGAACATTAAAGCTAGGGTAAGTGACAACTCTGATTTGTGCTCGCTTATACTTAATTTCCATGAGATACCAGAGGATAAATCAATAAGTAATATAGATCTATTTAGGTTTTTCTTGACTGACAGAACCTTGTGAAATCTCTGTTATTTACTCCATGAACATGTGCAGTTTGTTTATATCAGCTGAACTTGTCATCAATAATTACTTATAAAAATTGAACCCAGGAAGCATCATTAGCAATCATAATGGACCGCATATAATCTGAAAGAGTTCAAATTTTAGGCTCAAAGTTTATATCGGAGCTCTTTGTCACATCATGAGATAATCTAAATGTTTACGTGAGCTATTTACTTGTGTTCATTGTCGTCTGTGACTGAAACATTTATAGCATCAGTAAAAAAAAAAGCCTTTTTGACAAACATATGAAATTAAAGAGGACCTAGTTTGGAGCCTTGTGGAACACCTCCCTGCATATCACTGTCATTTGAGCTTTTATTCATGTGACAGTTTTACAGTCATTCACTCTCAGCAATAAAATAATTCATTTGGGAAATTAGATTGTATCTTTTGAAGTTATTTTTTGATAAAATATTTGAAACCATTAAACATAACTCACAAATAATGGCTGAACAAAGACTCATGAACAATTTGGAAATTATCGCAGGAAAATGTATATTTTAAAAAGTGCATTAATGCTTTCTTTTTGTGTGTGTGTCCTTGGCTGTTAGGCTAATTGGTCAACTAACGCAATATAATATATTGCCATATTATTGTCCTTACAACTATATAATGATTCAAACTTAATGACAACCAAAAATCATCAACTGATGCTTATTAAAAACAGATAAAATCACGAGTGTTAATCATGGTGACAGGGGAGAGAGGTGATAAGATAACTTGAGTATTACTGCTATGAGTGGTTTAGAGAGTCACCTAAGTGTGGGGTAATTTGTGCTGAATTTGGCAATAATGTATTCATAATATTGACAATTAATCTGTGTGTCCATAAGTTTATTTGCCTGTAGTTGTGAATGGTTTTAACAGATTGTTTATTCCTTATATCTGCTGTTTTAAGATCAAAAACTGTGTAATTGACCCAAAGATGCTGCAGCCCTTGTCAGAAACTAAGTGACCAACCAGCCCTGAGAGTTTTCTAATGTGTTCTCGCTTAAAACAAATTCAAAGGAACAAAATTGATTAAATGGCCCATAGCTCACATTGACTCCTGAACCTGATAAAGGTAATCGTTTTATGTATAACAGGTTAGAGTCATTCGAAGCAAATGAAGCTCGGTGACTCAAACCAAACGCGGTCCTGTGTCGGTCCTATGAGAGAGTAAATAAATGTCAGCGCAGCTCTGTCACAGCTCTGACAGCCCATAGAGGGATGGCTCACCAAGCCTCCTTTGTACACGGTGTCACCGCTAGCAGCTGGTGGTGGCATTCCCGGGCCTTGGTCGCTGCCCTTTGGCCCCTGGGGGGTTGGACTCCGGACAGGGCGGTCCAGCCGTCTCCACAGCGCCCTGATAGCTCGGGTCAGCAGGGCCAAGTTTCCAGCAGGAGAGGCCGGGGTAAAGACAGCGAACAAAACCCCCCGAGCTCACCGAGCCAGTGGGATCATTAGTATGAAGGTTTGTTTAACTAATTAGCAAGCTGAGCAGCAGAGGGAGGCTTGTATAGAAGACATGGACGTCATATATGGTGAAGGTGTGGGGATCTGTCATTGTGCGTCAGCGCTGCATGAATGCGGATTGTGACTGGAGCGCAGACATCAACTGCAACCTACAGATCCCGGATCAGCTGATTTTCAACCCCTGAAAACTTCCTGATAGTGTGCAGTGGACCCCCGTGCACCAAGTTGCCATTAAATGACTCTAAGCCCCCCGACTATGAGAACAATAAGGCACTATCTTCTGCTGGATTTTGTTGTGCCGGGTTCAAAGTACAGCATGAGGACAGGGCAGCACACTGAAGTTCAAGAACAGTGCAAACAGCACATGCCAACAAAAGGAGCCACACAGCACTGAGCTGCAGCAGAGCAGGAGAAGCCGGAGGGGGAGAGGGTACGGCTCCCGCGTTAAATATGGGAAAGTTTGGGGAACGGGGTCGGCGGGTCAAGAAAAGTCAACAAGAGAGCAGTCTTGATGACAGAAGGAATTTAATATCAAAAATACATAAATCTTCAAGTGAGGGCAGCCGCACAATAGGCACAATGGAGGCGAGTGTTAGAGTCAACACACATTTGTTGTTGGCGATTAAATGGATCGGGCCAAGTTGTTAACATTTAACACAAAACCTTGGCACTAGAATAGAGGTGGAGCAGAAAAGAAAGAAGAAGAAGGGGGATCCCTGGATGGAGCATGGCTGTCATGACGCGCAGAGAGCCCGCTCATGTGTGGGGAAATATCTTTGCGCACGGATAGCCCACCTTTAGAAAATGCAACAATTTTGAAACTAACTTTGCGTTTAGTTTTGAATTTGATTAATGTCTGAATTAGTTATTAAGTCCTGCTTATTTCACACCCTGCGGATATTTTCTTTACAGTCATCACATGGCAACATGTTGGCGTTTTGCGCAGTTACGCATCAATTTTACGCACTCGTAGTGGATATGCGAGAGGCTCAACCATCCCCTGTCCGTTCAATCACAGTGTCAGCATGGACATCCTTTATCTCACCGAAATTAATCTTTCCTTCTAAAGGAAACAGGCCTTGTGTGAACATCCTCTCTGACAGCAAAAATGAGGAACGATCTGCTCCCATATTTGCAACTTTGCACCAACACTTAATGTATTTTTTAAAATAATCTCGTTTCTCGTTGAAGTTGCATTCATGTCACTAAAATGTGATTTTCTGCCAACCATATGACGCCCTGAGTTTTCTGGATGGAGGTTGTAATCTTGGCTATCTTGGTGTTCTCGCGTATTTACGCACCGATTTTACGCATTATTTGACTTCTTGTGGATTCACAGGCGGCTAAACCACACAGGCTTGTTGAATCACAGTGTCAGCATGGACATCCTTTATCTCACCGAAATTAATCTTTCTATCTAAAGGAAACAGGCCTTGTGTGAACATCTTCTCTGGCAGCAAAATGAGGAACGATCTGCTCCCATATTTGCAACTTTGCAGCAACACTTAACGTATTTTTTTACTTATCTTGTTCCCGTTCAAGTTGCATTCATGTCACTAAACTGTGATTTTCTGCCAACCATATGACGCCCTGAGTTTTCTGGATGGAGGGTGTAATCTTGGCTATCTTGGTGTTCTCGCGTATTTACGCACCGATTTTACGCATTATTTGACTTCTTGTGGATTCACAGGCGGCTAAACCACACAGGCTTGTTGAATCACAGTGTCACTGCATAGACATCCCTCATCGAGTACAATGTAGAGATTAATCTTCCCATCGTGTAGGAAACAGGCCTATTAGTCTCCACATCCCCTCTGACTGCTGCGCCACTCTGGCCGCAGCGCTGAGAACTCTGTCTGACCTTCGCCCTCAACCCTGCAAAGCCCTGCAAGTTCCCTGGCCGTCGCAAACAACTCTGAATTCCATAATTCTTCGCGAAAAGGCACTATTAGGGAAAAATCCTTCCTTTTTGACAATTTAATAGTGCAAACTAATCATGTGGTTGACACGGGCCATTCATCTCCACACAGGCAGACAAAGACAAGGCCTTTTCCATAGGTTCGTCTGGATCCTGCAGTCAGACCAGCCTCTATTTTGAGATCAAGTGCACAATAAAAGCATTGTGACTGCTTAATGGCTATGTTTGTGAAGCCACCCAAAACCCAGTGTATTAAATGCATTTTTCTTCTTTTTTTTCTTTCTTTCTTTGCAAAAAGAATGAGGGGCCACCGTGGACTAATGACCGCAGAACTGGGAATAAACCGAAAAGCAGAATTCTACAAGACCATGTTTGGCAGTTTTGAGCAATCAAAATATGAAACAATGGAAAAGATGCGGATACAAAATAATAGTAGCCATAAAATTGCTTAAACCCCCCAAGTTATGAATTCGTTTCTGAATCAATTTAGCGGTGCAGGCATTTTCCAAACATCCTCTTGCGGGAGTAACAAGACAGGAAAATTGATCCGGTGAGACCTCACCTCTCGGTGCGCCTCAATAAAAGAGACATCAGCCTCTCTCCACGACTGTATAATTTTTAATATATATGCAATAAATGTTCAATTTGTTTCCAGAAATGACGGGAAATAATAACGTCAAATTTTAAAGCCATCCATTACAGCCAAACAATGCTCATGAATACGTGCTCTGACGCAGAGTGCTGTGATTAATTCACGCTTTGATTGTGTTTGATGAAGCAATAACGGCGCAGAGATCCACTTTGGACCAGTTGAACCTTTTTTTCCCTCTTCTCTTATGAAAATATGACGAGGACTATGTTTTTGATTTTTTAAAGACTGCATTCTCCTCATTATTATTCCAGAAAAACGCAAAAAAAGGGGTGTTTTTTTTTTTTTT